GTTAGAACGGGTTCTAAGACGTTTTATAAAAAGACCGAATTCGAGTCAGATGCAAGGGCCATCCGCGTCAAGCTGTTCCGGGGAGGCCCCCTTTTGTTCGCGTGTAAGCCCAACGCTTGAATAAGTTCGCAAGTGTTGTACATCAAAACGTGCAGGAGATTGCGATTGCGGGTTTCTCAAACGTCAAACAAATATCATCAAAATCCAACCCAACAATGGATCTAATTTTTCGAGATGGTGATCACGTTTTGCTGAACTGAGTGTTGCGAAGAAATGGCTTTTGTCATTTCTGGTTATACCTAGTAGCGAGCTGAGGAAAGTGATCAAGAGTACAATAGTGAGATTAGTTGTCCTAACCTTGATAAACAAAAAAGAAAATATGCAAAAATTATCTGTAGAAACAAACACAACTTTACAAAGTGGTTCGTTCCGCTCTAATTTAGACGAAACTCATTGCTTCCACCTACCTCGGGGGATGAATTCTTTTTTGTTGTTCGCTGTCCAACTGTTACTGTATTATATCTTTATCTTTATCTTTGTCATTGTCTGTTGCCATAGAAATAGCAATATATATATGTAAAGTAGAAAGATTTAAAAGTGTGTGAATTTCCTTTCAACAGGACTAAAATCGTTGTGGATTTGTCGTACCACTTGTGTGTTTCACGACTTTATCTTTAGAATATCATCATAAAAAGACCCAAAGGCCCAAAGACTACTCCCCAATTTCAAAATTGTTCGATAACCTTTTGAAGGTACAAGAAAGAGCTTAAAGAATTATTTCAAGTAGTAGTATTTCCAGAAACTGGAAATGAAACGAGAAGCGAAGGCAAAGCAGCCCAAGATGAAACAGCTCAAAGTGAAAATGTGAATGGTATCGATTCGTCTGTCAATGTTAGACGGTTTCGTGGATTTTTTTGTTGAACTAATTGTTGTTGCCGATGATGTTGATCTGTCAGATTGCGACACAGGTTGTTATAGGCACGGTTTTTAGGATATTATCATCTAGAGATGAACTTACTTTTTGTGACGTGTGTATTTATTTATAAATGTTTCTCTGGGAAATAATCCTATCCTTGTTAGCAGCCATCGAGTATGATTATCAGTGATTACATTCGCTTAGATCTTTTATCTTTTAAAATTTTTCTTCTGTCGTTGATTTTTTTGAACATGTTGAATTATTATGGCGAAATACTTTTGCTATAAAGTGTGTTTAGTGTGTTTTGAAAATCATGATTCAATAAAACAAGCTGATTTACGCATACCTTTAATATTGTTTTCCTGCAGAATGTGTACCGCTTGCTTATTTTCTTTTCAAACATTTTTTTTTTCGAATTTTTTTTCTAAGATTTCAACAGTCAGTGCAGTTCTTCGCTCATTGCTATTCAATTATAAAATTGTATACGCATGATGAGAACAGAAATATACCCCGCTTCCGGAAACCAGTTGCGCGTCCAGTACAGACCACACACCACAAATGACGATGGCATCCAAGGTGATCTGGTGATTTTATAGTGATAGCTATAATACCAAGTTGGTAAACTCAGTTGTAATCAGGGCACGTACAATACAGCTGCAACCGGCCTTCTTATCCCACTGGTACAGAACGTTTGCATTTTGTGAAGGCCGTTGTCTTTTGTGGTGTGTGGTCTGCACTCGAAGCGCATCTGATTTTCGAAAGCAGAGGATACGTTCATTGGCCTCTGTGGTTATTACGCACATCAAGCTGCGTGGAAATAATAAGGTATCCTGAAATGAGAATGCGTTCCTACCTTTGTGGCCGAATTTTCTTGATCCTAACTAAATATTTCCAAAATTCCATGAATACTGAAAAGCAGGATGCGAAACATGACAGTGAATTTGACCATTTTAACACCCCCTACCCTCTCAAAGGCTAAAAGAGTTAGTGCAACCCTAGCTCATTTAGCTAAGGTCCCGCAACTCATGTACGTCTGCGTCACGTCCTACTCGCAACATTTTTTCCCAGGACTAAACATGATTTCCCCTGAGAACACTCGTGGTGGAGGGGGGGGGGGGGACTAAAGTGCAACCACAGGACGAGATACTCGAATTCCACGAGAACCTCTGTGAAAATTCATCAACAAATGTCATGTCAGCCTTCTCTGAGACCCAATTTGGCACACTTGCCTTTTTTTGTTTTTCAGTGATCCTGCGTTACCTAAGCCGAACAGAACGATTGAATCCATTGTTAATAATAACAATAGTGCCAATTAATTGTGAGCCCTGTCAGGGCGGAAGTGGTGTAGTGGCAAGTGGCGCGCTCACCACGCGAGCGGTCCGGGGATCAAATCCTGGGTCGTGAGTCGCCCGGGCCAACCAAGCCTTCCATCCCTCCGGGGTCGGTTAATTGGTACCAGACTTGTCTGGGAGGATAAAAACACTGACTTGTACATCGGCTGGCCCCCGCAAGTCATTGTATAGGCCACATCGCATTCAAACGCCACTACGAATGTACAAATGGAAGTAGAATGCGTGCCGCATCCCAAAAGGGATTGATCAACGGCAAAACTTTATTTTTATTTTATGAGGTAACGCTGTTAATTTCAGCGACTCGTGTCGGGCTTTCAGGAAGAGCAAGTCGCATTGGCTGACATACTGCAACGGTTAATAATCAAGTACGACAACATTTTTCAGGTGAACAAGAAGATTTTCATAAATCTTTGTTTATATAATATTTATTATTGTGTTGTGTTATGTATTACATGTTATCATGCTTATTTATTTATACTAATATTTATTGTTTCACAAGAATGCTGGGTTGTGAACAAAACTTTCGCCCCAGGCGGGACTAGAACCCGCACCTCTCGCTTTCCGGGCAAGTGCGCTACCAGTTACGCTACCGGGGCACCATTTCATTCCAACTCAGCTTTTCATGGTATACGTACCATTTTATTTATTTTATTCTGCACATGACAAGATGTGTCGTGCGAACAGGTAATGTACTGGCAAGTGGCGTCTTACCGTGGCCCACGGTGCCTGTGCGTAAATCCTGGTCGACCGGTCTCTGGACCTCTCACCCTCCATCCCCCAGGCAGTTTCGATAACGGCCAAGCAAATCCTTGACCATGGCGCTGTACTGTGTGAAAATATTGTCGCGGATATAAGGACGCAATGTACACGCGGAGAGCACGGCCGGCTCGCGCGTGGCAAGAGTGAGTGTGAACGTGGGAAAGTGTGACCGAACAGGCGAAAATCCTCGACGCATCGCCGAGAAATCCTCGACCAATTTTTGCCCTGCTCCCGGCTCGATTAATTGGATCCAGACTTGTCTTGGCAGTAGAAACACTGACATGTGTATCGGTTAGCCCCCGCAACTCATTGGTATAGGTCAAATCAAATAGTCACCAATATAACGCTCAGTGGAGGTCAAATGCGTGGCGCATTCCAAAAAGGGGTTGTTATCGCAGAAAACTCTACCCTCAATCTTCGCATTCGATAAATTTCGACGCGCGTCATAATGATGGAGGTCTTCTTTTCCTAAGTTTTCTCGAAGGGTTCACTGCAAGGGTGTCTATTGTTTTCTCTGTACAAGGTCCGCTGCTACTGACGTAGTGTCAAGAGGCTTCGGAAGGGGTACTACCACAGGATAATATCACCTTTGCCAACGGTATAGTCTCGTAGTTCCGTAAAGCGTGACCTGGATACACACAACAGGAGCTCAATAAAAAAGTTTTTCAAAAGCGGCTGCTAGGTCTCTCTGGAGTATGGAGGGGAGCACTTCCGACCATCTGTGGTAAAATCTAGTGATACTTGCATGTCGAGAAGCCTCCGTAAGCACCCCTGAGCCAGCTTCTAGGATATGTGTTTAAGTCAAAAAGGTGCACTGAGCACCCGTCCCTGTTATGCTGCCTTCTCAGCAGTCGGTTACTTCCAGGGCTGGATCTTGGCAGTCTCTGAAACTAGCATTCAATCTATACGAATTTTGTGGTGCATAATATATTACTCCCTTAACAGAAACAACTGCACTAACGATAAGAGGTGGAGTCTTTGTACAGTTTTTAATTCACAAATTTCTCTCCTCAAAATAATGTAGGCCATCGCCAGGATCGCACTGGTGTGGCTCTTGCACACGAATGCGAATGTATTGGTGGAAGTGGGCCGGCAGTAAAGAAAAAAGGAAAAGAATCCGTCGAAAACGCTCAGGTTGAGGGCTCACTCACCTTCCTAATCGGCTGTGCTAAGGGAATGAGAGACTAAGCGCGGAGAGGAGAGTATGGGCGAGAGAGCGCTACAGATGAGAGAGCGCCAGACAACAGCCTGATAAGAGAAAAAAAAAACTCTGCAGCTTGGGCAGCTTACTTTGCAGCAGGGTCAACCCTATCGTTGTGACTCTTCGAAAATTTTTTACGACCCCCCCCCCTTCATGGTTGATTTGATACGACCCCCCCCCTTGTACGTTACACTTGTGTAAAGACAGATTGACCTTAATATTTATTGCTACTCAAGTCAAATCAGCTTCCGAATAATGAGATGCACTCGAAGGTACCCGAAGGGTACCCCGAGGGGTTACTAAACTAAGAGATCGCCAAACTGAATCAGTTGCCTTAACACATTGTGGACCGCCGTTGAATGAAAACTTCGCCAAAAATGAGTCATCTATCAATAAATTTTTTGCCCGCTTGAAGATGTGTGCAAACTGTTCAGAAAGATTGTAAAGACAATAAGTCAGACGAAACCATGCTCTTTCAATCATGCGATGTGATTTCAAATTTGCTGGTTGGCGCCCTTTTGCCTTGCTGACGGTGGAGCGCATCTGCTCAAGGTGAGGAGCCGTCGAACGGGAATGTGAAAAGTTTAGGAGTTTTTTTTGTTTAATTTCAGGTAGTCCGGAAGATATCGGCGGATGTTGGATCAGCGTGGTTCATCCTTCTCAAGGAGTGCCCATTTTTTCTCAAACCCTTCACAATGAAAAAGTTATAAGCCAAAAAATTAGATTGCAAGAGAATTTTTACACTCCTCTTTCTAGGGCTATAACTTCCTTCATGTTCGAGCTTCAGCGCCATAGTGATTTGATTTAAAAAATTCAAATTATTCTCTAGCCAATCATGGGTATAAATTCTTCGAAAGTTAATTTATTAAAAATTTTGTACGTTGTTACTTTTCTCTGGTGCAAAGCGACTTTTTTGCTTTCAAACGATCATAACTTCCTTCAAAGTCATTCATTTGGGAAGCTGAACACGATATAACAACTACAGGATTCAAGCTTTCTAACGAGTACCCAAACGTTCCTGCAAAATCAGTAGTTCAAAATTTAGTCCCGTTGTAACCATTATAAAGGGCTGGTGTAACCATTTCTTTGAAAACGCGACTTTTTTACCTTCAAACGATCATAACTTCCTTAAAAGTCATTCATTTAGGAAGCTGAACGCGATATAACACACTCCAGGATTCAAGCTTTCTAACGAGTACCCAAGCGTTCCTGAAAAATCAGTAGTTCAAAATTTAGTCCCGTTGTAACCCTCAAATTTGAGGGGTATTTTTTGAGCCACTTTCTCGAAAGCGCGAGTTTTCTTAAGTTCCACTGCCCGTAACATCTCGCAAGACCAATTTCATGTTTAATTTAGGATGTGCTAGAATGCTCCGAGCATGCGCTTGCACTACATCCCTTGCCTTGGTGCGCGCCACGCCTCGGGCGCCCTTCTAATTCGCTGATTCATTTGAAAGCTCATTCAGAGGGAAGCGTGGTTTACAGATGCTCTAGTATCAGTAATCTTGCGCAAACGTATCGTGCCGGCTATCATGCTGGTCTCTAAAGGCATTAGTTTCATATGTGGTCTCGTGGCTGTCACAATGCGAGTACTTTTTTCAGGATGCTGCAATCTTCCACTTCATGACTGCGTCCTTGCAGGGAGAAGGCTTTGCATAATTGCTATAACTATTCACAAACACTTTCTTTGCTGCGTTTGCTCTTCTCCTTCGTACCACTATCCATACTCAGTAGGACATCACCAAGAATTTTCAGTGCCGGCCACCAAAAAATTACGACCCCCCCCTCCAAGCTCAATTCAGTACGACCCCCCCGTTGTGACTCGTCACAACGTAGGGTTGACCCTGCTTTGCAATGCCGCAGCCGAGCTTTTGTCGGTTGGTTTCCTTGCACGAGATCGCCACATTTGTAGAAGCCTTCACATGACCTCTGCCTGGGTCGTGCCTTTAAGCTAAGTCAATCGGTTGATAAATACTTGAAAATTTTTGTGTATTGCCCTTTGCTGTGATTGGCTAATTATTGCTAAATCAATAAAATAAAATGGAGAAGAGAAACTGTGAAAAAGTAGTGTATGTAGAGAGAACTGCTGGAATTTTATAACGAAAGCACTGCATTTCCAGGCTGCAGTCGTTTTATGTTGGTGATATGGTGAAATGGTGTTTTTACATTAAAGAACTTGGTAACGTTTCCCTAAGCCCACATTTCTATGCATTTTCTCAGTAAGAAATTTGCACACCACATATATCATAGTGCTATTTGACGCTGCTTTGTCCTTTTGTTTAATGAATTTTTAGTGCCCATTCCCATTCAGCATGGGATGGCTTGGAGCACCAACGGGCCCACTACTGAATAATGACAATCAATGCTGGTATCTACACGCGTCTTCCATCCGCCGCTTCTCAGATCAGGTATTTTATACAAGATTTCGTTACGCACTGCGTTCATACTTAGCGATTTGGGAGACTTGAAGAACTTGGGAGATATACATAACAGGTCTGTATTGGCCAGGAGGACCACAATTTCTGAGAATCCAAGAAAAAACCAGATGATATTGGCCATCTAGCATCTTTCATCTAAGTACATATTTTATCACCTGATGCGATTTTATCGATGTATCCATTCGGGTCGTTCCTCAGCTTTGAGATATTTGGGAGGTCAGCACCGTATCCCCCCCCCCAACTCACACCTGACACCACCTTCAACGGTCCACGTGTTATTGTGTCGTTTGTCGCCTTTGCCAAGGGACTGTTGATGCGCGGTTGGGCAATCGCTTTGTATCCAACGTTCGTTCGTTGGACTTATCCTTATTTATTTATTTATTAACGGACATGCCAGTAGGCATGTGGAACAATTAAGTTAGTAACAATACACTACAAAACTATTCAACATCAACACGAACGTAATAGAACAAAATAAAATAAAATAAAATACAACTGGAGACCAAGGACAGATCAGATGTACTTACCAACAAGCTGGCGTCGGTTCTATGACTCATCGTGGGCACGACAATCTCAATCAGAAACAGTTTTCGGGAGCTTCCTCCCGAACATTACTTCTCCCAAACTGTCGGGAAAGGCAGCCAAACCATTTTATAATTTGGTTATTTCTTTCTCAGCGAGAGGGGGAGGGAGGAGGAGATTGTATAGTGCGCCAGTGCACGCTTACCGCGCCAGCGGTCCGGTTATCAATCAGGTGTGAGTCGCCGACTAGCTGATTCACGCTTGAACTGTCTGATCTTCTCTCTATGGAAAAAACTCGAGCTCTGAATAGCGAATCCAGAAAACATATGCTTTTTTCACACTTCAGGAATAGGGCGGAGCTAAATATTCAGTGGGAGGGCTGCCTCTGAGGCACGCTAATAGATTACAGTTTTTATGATTTGATCTTGGGTCAGTAAAAAAATAGGGAGCTTTTTGATATGATATTGACACGTCTTCTTCTTTAACGAACCCGAAAGTCAGAAAGGCAGCACTCACACCCGAACGATCTTGCGCTTGCCATGTCCACAATGTTCAACATGTGGGCGTGCGGTCGCAGAGCGGTGACCTTGTTTCGCTTGTTTGTTCGCATTATATGACCAGAATCTCTCATATGTCATAGATCGGCCAATTTCATATTTGTGATTCCATTACAGGTAACTAAAGTTGTCAAAGTGTGGATTGAACAATTTCGAGAGCTCAAGGATAAATATCACTGGATTCAGGTAGGTTTCTGGCTTTTAATCAGGTTGGCAATGATGACAGATTCTTCTAAAAGCCTCTTCTAGATATTCGAGAATCGAGGAGCTGCCGTCGGTTGTTCAAACGCTCATCCACATGGACAGCTATGGGCAGGGAATTTCTTACCGAATTATCCCTCCAGGAAGGATAAATGTCAACGAGTAGGTTTAGGGTAGAGGCGCTTTTTTGATAAGGTTTCAGCAAAACCAGCAAAAGACTTGGAAACTAATGAGGACCCACCAAGCTTCCAATTGCAATTTAGCGTGCTCAAAGGCACGCCTGAGCCGACAGCAACGAAAAAACCGTCGAAAACGCTAAAGTTAGAGAGTTGATAGTTTATTTGGTCCGGCATTGCTGAAGCGTTGAGGGACTATATGTGAAGACGAGAAGATTGAAGCGGTTGAAGCGGTCTCTGCAAGCCCCTAGCGCACTTATTGCGCTTTTTGGGAGAGGAAGAAGCGGACATCTGCGGCTTTCGTTAGCGATTCTATCCTACCAACAGAGGGATTTATCCACCCTGGGGGATGTGTGCAACAGTGCCTGGCCGGTAAAGGGTTCCCAAAACTCTGCGTCTCTACTCCGGGCAATGACGCAGTCCTCATGATCAGGAATAAGGGGATTGTCCAGAAATGCAGAGTTTTGGGGACCCATTCCCGGCCAGGTACTGCTGAGCACAAGCCTTGAACTCATCCGGGTTGTGCCTTTAACCTCGCGGCACTTTCTCTAACCATAAGTGGGTACTTTCGCATACTAGTATAATGGTCTTATCACTCTGATGTGATGCACTTTTGTGATCGATCAATAAATAAATAAATAACTTACTAACGAGAATTTTCAGTACTTCTGAGAATCATCCTTATTTTTTGATATTTCTTCTAGGAATATTACTCTCGCCATGGTCGGCCTTTGTTATTCGACGTCCTGCAAAGAGAGCAAAGGGATGCTAGCGAGCGAATAGTACTACAGAACCAGCACTGGACAGTGCTCGTACCTTACTGGGCAGTATGGCCGTATGAGACGATGTTGCTTCCAAACAGACATGTGCTCCGCCTTGATGAGCTTAGCGAGGTTAGGGCAAAGCACTTTGTGGAACTACTCCTTTTTTCAGAATTAGGAGGTACTGCGGCCTTGTGATTTTCAGTTTAGTTCGGAAGAACTCATTTTTGGACTGTTTGATGAGGTAGACGCTGGAAATTTATGCGGCTAGTTTCGGGCTTTAGGAAGAGCAAGTCGCATTGGCTGACATACTGCAACGGTTAATAATCAAGTACGACAACATTTTTCAGGTGAACAAGAAGATTTTCATAAATCTTTGTTTATATAATATTTATTATTGTGTTGTGTTATGTATTACATGTTATCATGCTTATTTATTTATACTAATATTTATTGTTTCACAAGAATGCTGGGTTGTGAACAAAACTTTCGCCCCAGGCGGGACTAGAACCCGCACCTCTCGCTTTCCGGGCAAGTGCGCTACCAGTTACGCTACCGGGGCACCATTTCATTCCAACTCAGCTTTTCATGGTATACGTACCATTTTATTTATTTTATTCTGCACATGACAAGATGTGTCGTGCGAACAGGTAATGTACTGGCAAGTGGCGTCTTACCGTGGCCCACGGTGCCTGTGCGTAAATCCTGGTCGACCGGTCTCTGGACCTCTCACCCTCCATCCCCCAGGCAGTTTCGATAACGGCCAAGCAAATCCTTGACCATGGCGCTGTACTGTGTGAAAATATTGTCGCGGATATAAGGACGCAATGTACACGCGGAGAGCACGGCCGGCTCGCGCGTGGCAAGAGTGAGTGTGAACGTGGGAAAGTGTGACCGAACAGGCGAAAATCCTCGACGCATCGCCGAGAAATCCTCGACCAATTTTTGCCCTGCTCCCGGCTCGATTAATTGGATCCAGACTTGTCTTGGCAGTAGAAACACTGACATGTGTATCGGTTAGCCCCCGCAACTCATTGGTATAGGTCAAATCAAATAGTCACCAATATAACGCTCAGTGGAGGTCAAATGCGTGGCGCATTCCAAAAAGGGGTTGTTATCGCAGAAAACTCTACCCTCAATCTTCGCATTCGATAAATTTCGACGCGCGTCATAATGATGGAGGTCTTCTTTTCCTAAGTTTTCTCGAAGGGTTCACTGCAAGGGTGTCTATTGTTTTCTCTGTACAAGGTCCGCTGCTACTGACGTAGTGTCAAGAGGCTTCGGAAGGGGTACTACCACAGGATAATATCACCTTTGCCAACGGTATAGTCTCGTAGTTCCGTAAAGCGTGACCTGGATACACACAACAGGAGCTCAATAAAAAAGTTTTTCAAAAGCGGCTGCTAGGTCTCTCTGGAGTATGGAGGGGAGCACTTCCGACCATCTGTGGTAAAATCTAGTGATACTTGCATGTCGAGAAGCCTCCGTAAGCACCCCTGAGCCAGCTTCTAGGATATGTGTTTAAGTCAAAAAGGTGCACTGAGCACCCGTCCCTGTTATGCTGCCTTCTCAGCAGTCGGTTACTTCCAGGGCTGGATCTTGGCAGTCTCTGAAACTAGCATTCAATCTATACGAATTTTGTGGTGCATAATATATTACTCCCTTAACAGAAACAACTGCACTAACGATAAGAGGTGGAGTCTTTGTACAGTTTTTAATTCACAAATTTCTCTCCTCAAAATAATGTAGGCCATCGCCAGGATCGCACTGGTGTGGCTCTTGCACACGAATGCGAATGTATTGGTGGAAGTGGGCCGGCAGTAAAGAAAAAAGGAAAAGAATCCGTCGAAAACGCTCAGGTTGAGGGCTCACTCACCTTCCTAATCGGCTGTGCTAAGGGAATGAGAGACTAAGCGCGGAGAGGAGAGTATGGGCGAGAGAGCGCTACAGATGAGAGAGCGCCAGACAACAGCCTGATAAGAGAAAAAAAAAACTCTGCAGCTTGGGCAGCTTACTTTGCAACAGGGTCAACCCTATCGTTGTGACTCTTCGAAAATTTTTTACGACCCCCCCCCTTCATGGTTGATTTGATACGACCCCCCCCCTTGTACGTTACACTTGTGTAAAGACAGATTGACCTTAATATTTATTGCTACTCAAGTCAAATCAGCTTCCGAATAATGAGATGCACTCGAAGGTACCCGAAGGGTACCCCGAGGGGTTACTAAACTAAGAGATCGCCAAACTGAATCAGTTGCCTTAACACATTGTGGACCGCCGTTGAATGAAAACTTCGCCAAAAATGAGTCATCTATCAATAAATTTTTTGCCCGCTTGAAGATGTGTGCAAACTGTTCAGAAAGATTGTAAAGACAATAAGTCAGACGAAACCATGCTCTTTCAATCATGCGATGTGATTTCAAATTTGCTGGTTGGCGCCCTTTTGCCTTGCTGACGGTGGAGCGCATCTGCTCAAGGTGAGGAGCCGTCGAACGGGAATGTGAAAAGTTTAGGAGTTTTTTTTGTTTAATTTCAGGTAGTCCGGAAGATATCGGCGGATGTTGGATCAGCGTGGTTCATCCTTCTCAAGGAGTGCCCATTTTTTCTCAAACCCTTCACAATGAAAAAGTTATAAGCCAAAAAATTAGATTGCAAGAGAATTTTTACACTCCTCTTTCTAGGGCTATAACTTCCTTCATATTCGAGCTTCAGCGCCATAGTGATTTGATTTAAAAAATTCAAATTATTCTCTAGCCAATCATGGGTATAAATTCTTCGAAAGTTAATTTATTAAAAATTTTGGACGTTGTGACTTTCTCTGGTGCAAACCGACTTTTTTGCTTTCAAACGATCATAACTTCCTTCAAAGTCATTCATTTAGGAAGCTGAACGCGATATAACACACTCCAGGATTCAAGCTTTCTAACGAGTACCCAAACGTTCCTGCAAAATCAGTAGTTCAAAATTTAGTCCCGTTGTAACCATTATAAAGGGCTGGTGTAACCATTTCTTTGAAAACGCGACTTTTTTACCTTCAAACGATCATAACTTCCTTAAAAGTCATTCATTTAGGAAGCTGAACGCGATATAACACACTCCAGGATTCAAGCTTTCTAACGAGTACCCAAGCGTTCCTGAAAAATCAGTAGTTCAAAATTAGTCCCGTTGTTAACCCTCAAATTTGAGGGGTATTTTTGAGCCATTTTCTCGAAAACGCGAGTTTTCTTAGGTTCACTGCCCGTAACTTCTTGGAAGACCAATTTCATGTTTAATTTAGGATGTGCTAGAAAGCTCCGAGCATGCGCTTGCACTACATCCCTTGCCTTGGTGCGCGCCACGCCTCGGGCGCCCTTCTAATTCGCTGATTCATTTGAAAGCTCATTCAGAGGGAAGCGTGGTTTACAGATGCTCTAGTATCAGTAATCTTGCGCAAACGTATCGTGCCGGCTATCATGCTGGTCTCTAAAGGCATTAGTTTCATATGTGGTCTCGTGGCTGTCACAATGCGAGTACTTTTTTCAGGATGCTGCAATCTTCCACTTCATGACTGCGTCCTTGCAGGGAGAAGGCTTTGCATAATTGCTATAACTATTCACAAACACTTTCTTTGCTGCGTTTGCTCTTCTCCTTCGTACCACTATCCATACTCAGTAGGACATCACCAAGAATTTTCAGTGCCGGCCACCAAAAAATTACGACCCCCCCCTCCAAGCTCAATTCAGTACGACCCCCCCGTTGTGACTCGTCACAACGTAGGGTTGACCCTGCTTTGCAGTGCCGCAGCCAGCTTTTGTCGGTTGGTTTCCTTGCACGAGATCGCCACATTTGTAGAAGCCTTCACATGACCTCTGCCTGGGTCGTGCCTTTAAGCTAAGTCAATCGGTTGATAAATACTTGAAAATTTTTGTGTATTGCCCTTTGCTGTGATTGGCTAATTATTGCTAAATCAATAAAATAAAATGGAGAAGAGAAACTGTGAAAAAGTAGTGTATGTAGAGAGAACTGCTGGAATTTTATAACGAAAGCACTGCATTTCCAGGCTGCAGTCGTTTTATGTTGGTGATATGGTGAAATGGTGTTTTTACATTAAAGAACTTGGTAACGTTTCCCTAAGCCCACATTTCTATGCATTTTCTCAGTAAGAAATTTGCACACCACATATATCATAGTGCTATTTGACGCTGCTTTGTCCTTTTGTTTAATGAATTTTTAGTGCCCATTCCCATTCAGCATGGGATGGCTTGGAGCACCAACGGGCCCACTACTGAATAATGACAATCAATGCTGGTATCTACACGCGTCTTCCATCCGCCGCTTCTCAGATCAGGTATTTTATACAAGATTTCGTTACGCACTGCGTTCATACTTAGCGATTTGGGAGACTTGAAGAACTTGGGAGATATACATAACAGGTCTGTATTGGCCAGGAGGACCACAATTTCTGAGAATCCAAGAAAAAACCAGATGATATTGGCCATCTAGCATCTTTCATCTAAGTACATATTTTATCACCTGATGCGATTTTATCGATGTATCCATTCGGGTCGTTCCTCAGCTTTGAGATATTTGGGAGGTCAGCACCGTATCCCCCCCCCCAACTCACACCTGACACCACCTTCAACGGTCCACGTGTTATTGTGTCGTTTGTCGCCTTTGCCAAGGGACTGTTGATGCGCGGTTGGGCAATCGCTTTGTATCCAACGTTCGTTCGTTGGACTTATCCTTATTTATTTATTTATTAACGGACATGCCAGTAGGCATGTGGAACAATTAAGTTAGTAACAATACACTACAAAACTATTCAACATCAACACGAACGTAATAGAACAAAATAAAATAAAATAAAATACAACTGGAGACCAAGGACAGATCAGATGTACTTACCAACAAGCTGGCGTCGGTTCTATGACTCATCGTGGGCACGACAATCTCAATCAGAAACAGTTTTCGGGAGCTTCCTCCCGAACATTACTTCTCCCAAACTGTCGGGAAAGGCAGCCAAACCATTTTATAATTTGGTTATTTCTTTCTCAGCGAGAGGGGGAGGGAGGCGGAAGTGGTGTAGTGGCAAGTGGCACGCTTACCACGCGAGCGGTCCGGGGATCAAATCCTGGGTCGTGAGTCGCCCGGGCCAACCAAGCCTTCCATCCCTCCGGGGTCGGTTAATTGGTACCAGACTTGTCTGGGAGGATAAAAACACTGACTTGTACATCGGCTGGCCCCCGCAAGTCATTGTATAGGCCACATCGCATTCAAACGCCACTACGAATGTACAAATGGAAGTAGAATGCGTGCCGCATCCCAAAAAGGGATTGATCAACGGCAAATGCTTTATGCTTTATCCTTATGCATGCTTTATCCTTATCCTTAATTTCTTTCTCCGTTTTAATGAATTTTTTATTTAAGCAACGGTGCCCAAGTACATAGCTGGATACGAGATGTTCTCCGAACCTCAAAGAGATATCACTCCCGAAGCGGTAAGGACAGATTTCATTTTCCGGGTCGTTTTCTGAAACACAATTCTCACTACTTCATTATGGTGCTCTAAAGGAGGAGTTCCGTGATAAGGTTGAGGCAAAAGAAGCGTCCTCACCTACTGAGAAGTACCCTCTGATGATGGGTTGACATGCAACTTTGCATCGATCTGGTATAGCCGTCGCCCGATTCGACCGGACAGCGCCCACCTACTGGCTATAACTCGCTCCGTTGGGTCTCTAGGCCGTGCCGAAATCTACGGCCAAGGAGGCCTCATTTCTGGGGTTCTGGGTCCTCATGGTTTTTTCCTACTTCTCGGCACCACTAACCACCTCTACCTTAATCTAATGGGCTACCTTCTAATCGTGAACTCTACTTTTGAGCCGCATTTGATTTCCCCCAACGAATGCCTTCTTTCCATCTCGTCGTTCTGATTCTTTTGACATGAATTCAACAATACAATCCTTTGCTGCTCATGTTACGAGCTGGTGCCCAGGCAATTGTGACTCTGAAAAATCACGAAGCACCAGAAGTACCCTCGCCTTCAAATGACCAGAAATTGTGCAATTGCAGAAATTGACGTGGCATTAACGTGGCATCGATTCAAGAACATCTTTGAGCACACGTGATGTCACCTTTTCATCGAGAATTTAGCCACGTGTGTGCCACGTCAATTTCTGCAATTGCACAATTTCTGGTCATTTGAAGGCGAGGGTATGTAGCAGGTGTTCTTATTGCGCTCATAAAACCTTAATTTGACTGAAAACCGCCTTTTGCTCAGAACTCCGTGTGGCCGTTCCGTGTGATAGTCAAAGTAAATAAAATGAAATAAAATCTGCATAATTTCTAATTTTAGGCCGCTGCGACGATTCCGAGCACAGCCTGAGGTACACTACTCCAAGAAAAGGCACAATTAGCCCAATTTTTGCATCTTTAACAACTATTTTAACTGAAGTTAGATAGTAATAGTTTCTAATAATCTACCTAATGTCCCGAACTTAGCTGATGCGCCTGACCTATTATTTATTTTCTGTTGTAAAAAGATTCAGCACGTGACCTCGCCATGTTGCTCCTTATGCCCGTTGGTTCCGTGCGGCTTACAGCGTTCATTGAAGAGAGATAATTTTAAAGCACTAGTTAAACAAGTTGGGATGTTTCACAAGTGATTTCGCCGTAGTTTATCACTTATTGCCTGATAAAGCTACTGGCAAAATATTATGTTCGCAAAAGACGTAGGAATCGCAGTATCAGTGATGCAGGATCTCTAGCTGTCTGGATTGTAATACATATTTCAGCAGGGTCAACCGTCCGGCAGGCCAATGGAAATGGTAGGATTGTATGTGACCCAGGGAGATGGAGGGGCGTCTTCGGGCTACTTCAGCTCGGTCCTCCAACACAATACCAATGTGCTGCCCTTATCTGCACCCTCTCGCCTGAATAGTGGTTTACGACTATAGTGACCGGCACGTCCAAATTTTTACTTCACGAAAAGTGGCTCACAACCACCCAACCGCCGAAATGCCCTCCTTCCTTTTGCTCACGTGTGTCTCCCGTCCGGCACCATTAGAAGCTATGGTAGGCATCGTTCTCCAATCTTCTGTGCTCTAGGCATCGCGACAGGACCACTGAGGAAAGTTCGAGCAGTTCAAAAACCGGGAGGGGGGTCGTCAAATTTTTGAGATAGGCTATATGAAACGGCTGACCCTGACATCACCTGAGCTAAAACGTTGCATCCCTCCTGAGATAATAAGGTGCTTATTTTTGGTCTGACAGCAGATATTGCTCATTTGAACATGATACCTTCCGCAACGCCTGCAAAATACTGAATGACGAGTCACACTGCATGCCCTAACCCAATCAGCTTGATCAGCACCATTCATCTTATGGTTTTGAACACTTCCCAACTCATTTTGAATAAGATCTTCTAAAAATGCTTCGTGATCCTGTTTTCTGGTCACAGTGAAAAACTCTGTCTCATCTGCACAGCCTAACTGCATGCCTAGTTGCCGCTACGGCAATGAGTCATATGCAGAAAATTCGACCTACAGTGCGTTTCAAAAGTATGTGGACACCTCAGAATCCATGGTAAAAAGGTACCCAAGGAGCTTCGCGCTATGAAACTTCTCCTCAAGTCGAGTCCCTTGTAGTCGATAACATATCCGTGTAGTTAAGCAGATAATATCGCCTTACTTTCGGAAAGAAAATTTTTAGATTGAATTCTTTTCATTGTTATTTGGACACTTGAAGGAATGAATTTTGGCGTCGAAATTTTCCGTCACCGATTTCGATCCCATTGCTGTTTTCATTTCTTCATCATATCTATTCGTGGCATACTTCTTCCTGTTGACGAACAAGCTCAGATCAGGGCTCTTCATGATGCTGGACGTTCTAATCCAGAAATCACACGACAACTTGGTCGTTCTCCTTCAATGCATTGGAAGATTCATCCGGCACCCTGATAATTATACTCAGCACACACTCCGCTCCATCCACGATCCTTGACTGCTCAGAACAACAAAAGAGTAGCCCACATCCTGTCGAATTCTTCATTGACAGTCCGAGCTCAGATTTTTATTCCAGCCTCGAAAATGACCACTAAGCCCCTCATCCGCTCAAATGAATACACCACTCGACAGACGCTGAGAAAGGCTACTCACTTCAAGGCCTCAGCACAAGTTAGCCACATTGGAGTCTGCTCGTACAGACATGGCAACATAGGATAGGACACGGGAAGACACGGTTTTTCGAGAATTTCCTATTTTCAAAACAAGCAACTTTTTATGACTTTTTCTCCTCAGGTAATCTTAACTCATGGAAAGAGTTCGATCTTGACGGGCCGGGTGGATTTTGCTACTACTGGAGAGGCTTGGCCGTGAGTCGCTCGTGCTCTCGAGAAGGAATTTCGGAAGAGGCCCGTTGATGGGTCTGCGGCGGTTTCGCAATCAGCGGAAATTCAGAAGTTGCCGTTCCATTATTGCGTATGAACTGTAAAGAATACCAAGCAGTGCTCCAATATCACCTGTTGCCTTTCCTTAGAGGAGCGCAGCGAAGGACCACGGTCTGTCGATGTTCCGCAATCTACCAAAGAATGGCTCAACCAAATGGTGCTGAAGCGATAGATTGGCTTGTGTGTCCTCCTTACTGCAACCCTATAGGGAGCCCTTGATCAAGGCGTTAACTTTAGCAACCGGCAGTATAATACCGCGGATGAACTGAAGGCGGCGGTAGAGGCTATTTGGGCCGACAGCGACGAAACAGCTATGCCAAACGTGGTTCAGATTATGCCGGACAGGATGTTTGAGCTAATTAGAAACTCTGGAGGCCCCACTGATTTCTAATCTCAGCTATGTTTTTGTCTTTTGTTAAGTGTGCACATACTTTTGAAACAAAGAAAAAAATTTCATCCAAAATTTTTTTCGAAAGTGAAGGCGATATTATCTGCTTTGCTTCCATTGATAGGTTATCGACTACGAGAAATCGATTGAGGAGGATTTCGCAGCACGAAGCCTCCTAGTTGCCTTTTAACACATTGACGACAACGCGGGGGATATATATCCCGCGCATTGCAGGCCATGTCGGACCGTGCGGGATATATATCCCCCGCACCCATTACACTTTTTTTTCGCGCACGCCTGATTCTTTTAGAAGTTTCTTGTATTCATTCCATGGAAGAGACCTTGACGTAGCTACAAACATAAGTGCCCACATACTTTTGAAACGCACTGTATTTGAAGGTGCTGTCGGTGACGCTGCTTATTATGTATTTATTATAATTTATTCGCCAATGTCAACTTCACTTCGAGAGTGACGAATAAATTTTCCTTTTTTTGCTCACATCTTCAATTAACATGCTTTCCCGAACGACATACGAGGCGGAGACATGAACATCACAGTCTCTGAAGAGGAGAAACTCGCAGTCACACAATCAGCCATGGAGAGGGCCATGTACAGCGCTTCGCTACGAGACCGTATACCCAGTGATGCCATCCACGCTCGTAAAATCACTCGCCACAGGTCTCTAGCGGCGAGTGGTTAGATAGCAGAGAGAGCGTAGTTTGAAGAGGGCACACGATGAGAGTCGCATCAATGCGGAAATCAACGGGGGAAGGGGTCCCATTTCTCGGGTTCGGGCCGTTTCTCATGGTTTCTTCTTCATCCCTGCTCCACTGGCCACCTCTACCTTAAGGCAAGAATCAGGATTAAATTGATGGGGTGATTCCACTCAAATGTGAAAGTAGGGATGGGAGGTGGACCGCCAGTGGAGAAAAAAGGAAAGAAAATCCTGAAATACACAGGAAATACGAGCATTTTGCTTGCTGTGGAGAAGTTCAAAAGACAGGCAGGGAGATGAGAGATAATGTGAGCGCGGAGAGTGGTAGAGAAGTCCGAGAAGAGAGAGCATAGCAGATCAACGTGGCGACGCAGACAAGATATCGAACGGTGGGCGGACCATGTTAAGTTTGGTGGAGTCTGGAGCAGGGACAACCCTACCGTTGGTACTTTTTGGAAATTTTTACGACCCCCCCCTCTTCATGTAATACTTGTGTACAGTATGTATGTCACCATTTTTTATTGAAATCTTTGATACTGGTTTCAATGAATTCAAAATTACTACTGGATTCTTTTCCTTTTGGAAAAAATTCGAGTAACTAAAAAACACCGCACTTTTTTCCTCTTGGGTAAGAAGCCAAATAGCCAATTAAAATACCGCACTTCTTTGGTTCCAACCTAACACCTACTCTGCAACGCTTGCCAGAGGATGATTTTAGAGGTCGAACCAGACCTCAATCAAAAGCACAGTCGTCGGATGTGGTTTAAAATCTTATGATCCTCTTGACTGGTGTCAGACAGAACAGTTATCTACTGATAGTGATACGCAAACACATCACCATCACATCGCCTCCTGTATCGTGGGAGGCGATGTGGCAGTGATATGTTTGCGAGTAGTATGGGTATGGGTAGTGAAGGAATGTTGATTGAAACGAATCGCGATATTGATCGCGTTTGAATGTGCTGATTCGCGCCATCAACGTCTACAATGGAGCGCGTTTGCTGACCGTAAGCAGGCAACGAAGATACTAAATTTTAGACGAATTTTTCTTTGCATAATTTCAGGTAGTTCGGAAGATGGAGGTGGTTTTGGATCGCCGAGGCTCAGCCTTTCTAAGTAAAGCTCATTTGTTCTCAAACAATTTGAAATGAATAAGTTATTAAGCAAGAAATAAAATTGCACTACAATTTTTACCTTCCTCTTTCTAGGGCTATAACTTCCTTCATATTCGAGCTTTTGCGCCGAAGTGATTTGATTTGAAAAATTCAAATTATTCTCTCTAAATTTCTTCGAAAGTTAATTTAATAAAAATTTAGCACGTTGGGACTTTTTCTGTGCAAAAGCGACTTTTCATTGGGACTTTTTTTGTGCAAAAGCGACTTTTCAACCTTTGAACGATCATAACTTTGTTCAAAACCATCGGTTTCGAAAGCTGAACTCAGTATAAAACTTCAGGATTCAAGCTTTTCAATAAGTTTCTGGACATTACTGAAAAGTCAGCAGTTCAAAAATTGAAAGCTCATTTAGAGAGAAGCGTGGGTTTATAGATACATAATATACATACATAAAATAACGCATTTTATAATTATACACTATTATTTCAGTTTCTGTGCTGCGTCTGCTCTTTCCCTCCGTATCACCGTATATTATCAATAGGGATATTACCAGGAATCGCACTGCCGGAGCACGACCCCCCCCCTACAAGCTCAACTAAATACGACCTTGTGGCAACATAGGGTTGACCATGGTTGAAAGTCCATGGCGCCTAGGGTCCTAGTTCCGATGTAGAAAGGTGGCGCTACCTTTGCACTTGCGTACCCAGCACTTTTAGCCAT